CCGTGGAGATAGACTCCTCCATAGAATTTGAATATATATCATGTATATATATATATATATATATCTACACATATGGATGCATTCATATCTCTCTCTGTATATATGGGCATCTTTAAAAAATATATATTTTAATATATATATATATACATGATCCAATCAAGTTGAGATTAACGAATATTGTGGGTAGTCATAGCTGATGGTAACCAACATGGCTGGCTGAAAAGACATCTGGCTAAGAACGATGTGCATTTACAGGTGGATATAAACATTAGCGATATCCATAGTCAAACCAGCAAATCCTAGTGAATTGACTCTATAAACTCTAAATCCTAGTGAGCCATAACTTGTGGCAGATCTACATATAGATTTATAGATATCTATTCATGCATTGGGGATAATCTGGAATACCCTCTGGTAGTTGAACATAGCAATGGAACAACCACCATTTTAAGTTCTGTCATTCATCGAGCTACCATCTATACCGTAGCGAAAAGCAACAAATTATCAGAGCGTAGATCCCCCAAAATTACATTGCATACCATTCATTATTTTCATAAGCATTTCATCTTGAATACACAATCTTTGATCCCATTAAATGCATCAAACGAGTTCCCAGAATGTAGATGCCCATTAAACATATCCATTCATATTAGATACCATTCATCAAATTTCATTCATAATAAGCATTTCAAATACCCTCTGGTAATTTAACATGGCTATTGAACATGGCCATAGAAATAGTGGATTTACCCATTGAAAATGGTGATTTTCCATAGTTATGGTGATGTTTATCAGAGGGTACCCATTGAATACCCATGAAATCCCAGTCATGTCCCATGAATTTCCGCTGCCAGGACCTTCTCCTTGGCCTGAGCCAAAGGGCGAAGCCCTGCCCGACACCTTCGCCGCAGCCATCGGGGCAGAGGCAGCGCGATGGGGGAAATCTGCGGTGAAACCTCCCAGGATCCAGCAGTTGGACTGTTTATCATACTGTTTATCAAATTGTTTAGAAGTTCAAGGGTTCATACCAGCACAGATTTGACAAACAATTTGACCATTGTTTGGTGGGTTCTTTCATACTCAGATTTGGCCTGGGTGATTCTGACCAGTCTTGGGAGGCCAGTGCCAACTTACCCATTGCCAGCAAGTTCCAGGACGACAGAGCCAGTCCAGTTGAAGATGTTGAAGGGTGGTATTTCAGCAACAAAGGTTTTCCAACAAGATAGAATCATTATTTATATTTATTATTATTTATTTATAAAATTTATCATTTCCCACATATTCAGATCAGATCTACTCATCTTATTGCCATAGTTTTTTTGCGCTACAGACGCCCCATTGGATCATGGTAAGATCAGATCCACGACGCATCCGCTGGTTAACCCATATCCGGCACGGCCATGGATGGCCATGGTGATGAAACATGAGCAGTTGAGGGCATGACCAGGGCTGGTCTTGTGTTACCAAAGTTACCAAAGACCTTGGATGATTGGGATGCGTTTGGTGCGGCGGAATCTATCTAGCAGAATAGACATTTCTCGTTGCAGGGGGGGGGCAGGGCGGGCAATAAAATGCAACACATGGACAACTGCTGCCATTTTTTCAACCAAAACAGTGCTGCATCATTTGAAATTGTGCAATGCCCGCATTGATGTGGGATTGGTTCAAACCCCACCGCATTGGGTGTCTACTTGACCAATCTAAGATGATTTGATTGGTTTATATAATTCTCAACAAACACGTTTCTTTGTGGCAGAATTGCGACGCAAAACGTTGTTTGGTTTAGCCGAAATCATTAGGGACCCATGGTGGTGTTGAAAGGAAATTATCGACACAGTGGCCGAGAACCAGGTGCCGAAACTAGGGGCGGGATGAATGGGAATGTCTACATGGTTTCGACCCATTTCGACTCATTTCGACCCATTTTGCGGAAAGTTGATGTTGCAGAATGTTGCAGACATCAAAATTTGGGATTTTCACGAAATTTCAATTTCCTCCATCGTTTTCAAACTCGGATGATTTCGCCGTTGTCGGATGGGTGCCCCCCATGGGTGCCTCGTGTCCCAGCTTCGAGGTGTCCATCATCCAAGGCTCCACCGGCTCGGGAAAGACCACGCAGGTGCCGCAGTACATCCTGGACTCGCAGGCGGTGCTGGGGGGTGGCTACCATATTTGACTATTTTTAGTGAAGACCCCTTGGAAGCCTTGGAACAGAAGGGATGGATACCATAAAAAACCTGATTTTGAACCATTGTTCATGGTTAATAACATTATAATGTTGAACAACGACATTACCATAACCGTCATAATGTCATTAATGTCATAACCATTATTTAGCTATAGTAAACATGAATAAACCATGAATTCACCGATTCACACATCCCAATTTTTTTTGCTCTTAGTTGATTGATCTCCCTATTCTACCCCTCTCGCTTGAATTGTGGCTCAACCCCAGTTTTCTGCGCCCAACTGCTTGGTCATACTTTTTGGGTGCAACATATTATTCCGTGGAATCAATGGTTCGGTTTCTACTATAGTGCCATCACACATTCATTCAGTGGTTTCGTCTGTATCTTAAAACAAAAAGATGGCAAAAATCAACTTCAATCCCTATGAACGCCATATGGCCGGATAGCCAGATCCAAGTTTTTTTTCTACGAAACATTTTATACATCTGGCCGGATCCACAATGGGTAGTTTCATACATTTCATATCATACTTTCATTTTTTTTGCTCATTTGGAACATCTACGAACCAGCTAACAGCTGGTTGGCGGTTTCAACCATTTTTTATTTTCCATTTCATATATGGGATATATAATCCTTCCCATTGACGAACTCCATCATTTTTCAAGATGGTTATATAAAACAACCAACCAGACAGTTTCGTTGCTATCGAAGATTGGATGATTGGCAGATGGGTATGGATCAATACCTATAAAAATACAATTTTTAGGGGGATGAACATCCATAAATCCCAGCTATTTTGATGTTCACCAGGGGTACAAGGTTTTGACACACTGCCAGATCTCCAAGTTTCGGTCTCCAGGATGGCCATTCCAAGACCATTGTGGTGACCCAACCGCGGCGCCTAGCGGCCATCACGGTGGCGATCACCCAGCGATTTTCCAACGGGGTGCGAGTGGAACTTCCCTTTTAAAAGATGGATTTAATGGGATTTAATGGGATTTATGGTGGTTTAATGGGATCTAATGGGATTTACCCTCTGGTAAACATCACCATAACTATGGAAAATCATGGAAAATCACCATTTGTCATGGGAAAATCCACTATAAATGGGCCATTTTCCATAGCTATGTTAGTTTACCAGAGGGTAACTAGTTGCAAAACGGGGATGATCATACTCCAAAAGTATCCAAAATTGGTGATTTCACTAGGACAAATTGGGATTTCACTAGCAGTGACGTAAGTTCCGCCTGGACAAATGGTGTTTTCGAACCAAGGAACATATCCAGAATTTGAGGATGCGATACTAATTATGCAATATTATTCTGAAAGCAAACATTGGAATGTTCAAGCAGACATGACTGACATGACAGTTGTATTGGGGATATTCCTTTTGAAGTGGTTCAATATGAATCTATCCCGATCCATGTTTAAAAAACATTAATTTTGTTAAAACCACAAGTTACTACCTCTTGGGCCGCCAAGAATCGACTTGTACAAGAATCCACTTGTGCCGGGTTGTTTTGAATATGAAGGAGGCACAAGACATGTTTTTTTTAAACTCAGTTCCATGATTTTCGGGAGGATTGGGTTTGGATGATTCCAAACTTGAACAGTGTCGGGATTCCCTGAGCTGACCATGGAGTCCAGCTGGAGGTTGTTTTTCTTCGGGTCGATGCCATCTACTTCTCAGTGTTTTCCACTCAAACCCGCACAGTCCTTGCTACTTTCACTGAATCAATCCGACTTAGCGATGGCAGCCGAACTGAAGGCTGAGATCGAGGCCGCAGCTCCGAAGTCAACCTCTGCAGCCCTTTTCTGCCACATCGCTCTGGATGAACACCTCTTCAAAATAAGACATATGATTTGCCAAAAAGAAAAACCCTGAGCCAGTGCCCAGACACTGTCGGATCCCCTTGTCATTCTTTTTTTATGGTGTGAGGCGCTGGTCGCAAAGATTGGTGACAAGGCAGCGGGGCAATCTGCCCTGGAATCTTTGGCCAAGATTGCTGAGGAGAAGGGCCGCCCTGCCGAACCCTTCCTGGTCTCGGCTTTCCCCAAGATTTTGGAGGCCCAAATACGGGGTGGGAACCACAGAAGTGATGCAATCTCAATAGAATTCGGTCACAATAAGCCACATAGTAACTCTAAAGATAGATCGAAGAGTCCGAAATCTAGAAACCATGAGGTTGATCCTCATCCTTAACATCCTAGACCTTTTTTTGGGACGCCTATGGACCCCTATTGCTGTTGTCCAGTTCCCAGACTGAAATGCTATGAAATGCTCATCCAAGCAGCCTGTGCGGCAAGGCCTCCAATGACAAGTCCAAGAACGTGAAGGATGCTGCGGTGGCGACCAGTAAGACCATCATGGGTACCTTGGCTGATGACATGTCAACCGGTGGCTATACCTGGGTCGACCTTGGTGGACCATCTGTCCAGAAATCCCAATGACTTGCCTTGCCGTAAATCAATCAGTCACTGAAATCATCCCCTAAAAATGCTGTTTGTTTCTGTCATTTCCGAACAGCTCCCAAAAAGTCCCCCCCGGCCCACCTGGTCCGCTCCGTTGGTAGGCATGGTCTCCCCCTTCGCGGTGGAGATGCTGCTGCCGGCCTTCCTCAACGGCCTGGCTGTGAAGGCCAAGCCGCCGCAGAAGGAGGCCACTCTGCAGATCATCTCAGCTTTGGCGGCCAAGGCGCCGCGAGCCGTGGGAAACTTGGATGGGCGGCCGCGGGCCTCAGGGGCCAAGGATTTTGTAGAGGACGTCCCGGGAATAGCAACCAAATACCAAGCGGATACCAAGCGGGAAGTCAATAGGAACTATGATACTACTTATAGTTAGGGATTGTGTTGAGTTGGAATCCAGCAAAATCGAACATGGGTCATTTTCAAAGGGCAAACCGATTGTTCTTGGGGTCCCCCATTTTGGAACATCACCTAATATGAAGCGGTGAAACCCACAAACACGCGACAAAACACACACCAACCAACAAGAATATGGAAAATCACTAGAGACCCATGGGGAGATTTAGTGGGGATTTGAACTTCCAACTGGGCACATAACCCATTGGAAACTAAAGAGCACTCGAAATCACTGGGTAGTTAAGTTAGGGCGAGACACTGGGTAGTTAAAATTCTGCTGATGGCATCACCGCAAGACACTAGACTCATCTAAGCTCATCTAAACTCAAAATCTCATCATTTTTCATTTGGACCTCCATTTTTCCCACCCCATCCCAGCTGTTCAAAACTGCTTCACGGCTTCCGAGGATATCTGCTAGTGAACCTGGTGAGTCCCGTGGCGGACCTGACCTGCGACATCAAAAAGGAGGTGAAGCAGGCAGCCCTGGAATGCATGACGGCCATCTGCAACTGCACCGGCAACAAGGACCCCCGGATGGGGATGGGGGGGGATGAAGTGGTGGTTTTCAAGCATGGAAAAGCTATCATTACTGGGGATGTATCTATATAACTGTAATGTATTGTAATGTGGGAACCACAATAATAAACCAACCATTTGTGCATGGTTTTTATACCACATTATACTACCTATTTATGGTGATTAGGGGGATGGTTGTTGTATCCACATTAACTGCATTATTGAATTCACTCGGGAATGCGCTGAACCAAAAAACCCGACTGGTTTAGCGAAATTGTGTCCCTACCCTGAACCGTAGGTTGTTACCTGCATGGCATGGAAACTAGCGTCGTTTGCAAAAGGCTTGGGGAAATCAGAAACCGACATGGCATCAATCGACACACAACTATGCATACAAAATACAATAAAATACATATATAAGATATATATATATATAGATATGGGTTTTGTCTGAAAATAGAGTACATCCCCAAATTCATGCAATTCCAATGGATTTTTCATATATTATCATCATTCTCCTTATATATCTATATATCAAATGGCTATTTTAGGATAGGCCCAGCCATAGTGACAACGCGCCACGAGCCAGGACCTGGAGCCATTCCTTCCGGCCGTGGTGGACGCTGCCTCCTCCATCGACAAGACCCACAACTGTGTGGAGAAGCCTCTGGGACTTTACGGCATCCCGATATAGATAGCTACCGTAATATATATATATATATAGATGTATGTAGATAAATAAACATAGATAAATGATAAATAATAAATATAGATAAATATAGATAAACCATAGTTTGTATATAGATAAATGTGGATAAACTATAGTTGGTATATATACAGTGTATATATATATAAATAGATAAACCATAGTTAGTATATAGATAAATATAGAAAAACCATAGTTGGTATATAGATAAATATAGATAAACCATGGTTGGTAGATAGATAAATATAGATAAACCATGGTTGGTCGATAGACAAAATGTTATGTTGCTAGATACACCACATGCAACATCCGGTCATCAAACGTGGCTGGGAAAGCCCCCGAAGTAACCTTCAGAAGGTTTATAGCTGGGAGAAAACATCAAAGTCAATGGGGAATTGGATGGGATATAGTGTAGATTGGAAATTCAATGAGGCCATTTACTATGCAATATGGGTATGGATCAATACCTATAAAAATACCATTTTTAGGGGGTTATTCACATCCATAAATCCCAGCTATTTTGGGGTTCACCAGGGGTACCAGGGTTTTGACCCATCCCCATATGGGGACCCTCACTGCGACGGAATGATCGAATGATGGTGAAATCATCCCCACATGCCCCTGTTGTTTAGCTAGGCTGTAATGGCCTGGAAATTCCGGCATTTTTTTAATGGGAATATCATGAGAATAGAATGGGAAGATCATGTATAATGTGTAATCAGTATAATATTATAATCATATATGTATATAATATATATTCCCATTATACATTATACCATCTGTATAATCAGTTCGTGTTTTCTTTTTTCTTTTTTAATATCAGCATCACAATGGGAAATCCTCGAAACTAATGGAGGTTCATAGCTTGGAAGCACATCGAACTAAATGGGGGACTTTTTGCAGCACGCCATGTTAATTAACTCGCCATTTCCCAACTATCTATCTATCTATATATATATATATATGTACTATCATCTAAGCCTGTCCAAGTTTTCAAGGCTTGCAAACTCCCTTGGTTTCTCCGTTTCTCCCCCCATTCTTTTCGGGACCCGCACCCCATCACGCCAGGTTGGCTGGCTGCATCTTCGTGCAGAACGTCGAGGCCCCTGCGTTGGCGGTGACCATTCCAGTGCTGACCCGTGGTTTGAACGACAAGAACGAGGAGGTGAAGCGCACCTGCTGTCAGCCCCTTGGTAGAGTTGGTGTGGTGGTGCCAGGTGGTGCCAGGTGGTGGAGCTGATGGTCTTGGATGGTTTTGGATGGTTTTATGGTGCATCGAGCTGGCGATTTTGGACGGAAAACACATTAGGGTAATGGAACAACACATATAAATGTGATGGGTTTTCGAGAAACATCTTGTTTTACATGATCCAAGACAAATGCGATTTTCAGCGACAAATGCAAATGGGGATACACGCGACATGATGGTTGATGATGCATTTTGTGCTTTTGGACGAAGTGGTTTTTCACGGGGTCCAAAAAAAAAACAGGTTATCCAGGGTATCCAGATATTTGGGAAACAAAACCAGCAGGTTATCCAGGGTATCCAGATATTTGGGACATTTCTGGTGAAGATGTTTCCATTCTTTCTGGTGCCCATTGACCAATGACTGGGATGACGACTGGGACTTCCCCATAGGATACCACTGAAAAAGCCTTCAGCTTAGTCCGTGCAGCGTAGAAAAATGGGTGTGTGTGAAAATGGGGTATAGCTATAATCAAGTGGCCATTTATTAAATGATTCATTTAGAGGCACCATATTTTTAGACAAACTCTTACAGTGGCTACATTGTACAGTGGTCAAATTGGTCCAAGGCATAGCTTCATTTTCGGGTTCCTCATGGTCCCACAACAGTTTGCACAAATTTTGCACAGAGACGCTGATCTAGTTGGGTGAGGCCGATCTCGCTCGCTATCCAGGGTTACGGAAGTGGATCATTCGATCCTGGTAGCTCAAGCCTTTTTGATCTTCATGTGCTGTGCATGACTGGGGAGGAATTGATTTTGAAGGTCTCCCCTGCAATGCTGGGCCAGGAGATTCGACAGATGGTTTCGAAACTTGCTTCCAAGAGAGGTGCACAACTCATCCTGCATCGTGGCACTTCAGCACTATGGCTGAACCAAACCTTGCAAAAGCAAAGCATTGTGAGTAAGGCCACAACCTTATCCCGCACTTAATTTGCCAAGCACCCTGCAGACTCTAGGCTTTCGATCCGCCGTGTTGAGCCTCTGCTGATCGGGGACACAGTGCATCACAGTGCATGTGGCCACACATTTCTCTGAAAACGTGCTGGTGATACTCAATGTTCCCAGGGACGCTGTTACCTGGTGATACTGTAGCTCTGACGTCCGGCTCTGACGTCCTGAGAACACTGGCTACGTCTGGCTACCTCTGGGATCGCCAGATCAACCAGGCTGACCAGCCTGGAAGAACATGGAACGTCGTGTCCATTCGTTTCGTTGTGAACTCCTCAAGGATCTGAGGCCTCGGATGGCCTCGGATGGCCTTGGATCGAACCACTGGTGACATGTTGGTTTGTGTCCATGTGAGAGTTCTTTTCTTCAGGGAATGCTGGGAAATTCCCTTAGTAAAATATGTAAATTCCCTTAGAAAGTTCTCTTCCAGATCAGCTCCAAGGATCGTGGACAACATGTGCAAGTTGGTGGAAGACCCAGCAGAGGTGCGCAGGGCCGGGCCGGGTAAAGGAGGTCCTACATTGTTGGCATCCCCATCCGTTGTCGATCAAAAAGCTCATGATTTTGATGCTATGGACATAGGTGAAATAACAGCAGTTGAGATATTTTCACTTAAAACAATTGAACTTATTTGAAGCGACAGTTTTTCGCCGAGAAAAAAACCACAAGACATGCCACCAAATTCTTGAGTATACAGGATACATTCCTTTCCATACACCCAATCCGGATGCATTTTCCATCCCATCCATTACAGGTCTCCGATTCTATTGCCCGAAGACATGCTGAGCACATTCCATCCATCCTCCATTCCCATTCATCCCTATCCTTCCCATCATCCCCATCCGCCAGATTCTTTCTCCAATTCAATATTTATATTTTCTACATACATACGTAAGTAACATAACATAACATGACATGACATAACTCAACATACCATTGCATTGCATTGAACTGCATTGCATTCCATTCCGTTACATACACCCCTCCCACAACCATGCGTATCACTACATCAGTTTGTAAGTAGATGTAAGTAGCATTTTTTAAAGAAGCCCTGATTCCATCTCCATCAGCCCATCCTCCATCCCAACCTCAGGTGCTTCCCTTGATGCCCAAGTTGGAGCCCTTGGTAAAGAACGCAACGCAGAAGATCTCGGACCCCGAGGCGCGCGGCGTGGCCGAGAAGGCCTACAAGACCCTGCAGAAGGCCGCGGGCGAAGGCGCCCAGTCGCTGCAGCAGGTGACTGCCGAGGCGGCCAAGAAGCAGGCGCAAAGCGCTTCGCAGGGCCTGCCGGGGATGGGGATCATTGGGGGTTGGGTTTTTTTTCCGCCAAAAAGTGATGATCATCATTGAATCATAATTTGAATCATCATGATTAACATGTTCAAATGTTGGAATATGTTGGAATATGTTGGAATATGTTGGAATATGTTGGAATATACTTGAGTTTACCATGTTTTAATATATTTTACCATGAGTTGACCATGTTTTACCGTTACCAATGGTGATTACCATGTTCCCACATTGCTTTCACCGGAGCCAGGTGGAGGAAGCTCTGGGTGGCTCCATGGGCTCTGGCGACGTCTTCGAGGCCGAGCTGCAGCACGTGGCGGCGCTGGCGGCGTGCGCGGCCAACATGCGCGTCTTCGACGAGGGCAAGTGGAAGTCGGATGTGGGTTCCTTGGAGAAAAGATTTGTCCAATGGATTTTTTGGATGGATTTTGAAGGGTTTTTTTGGATGGATTTTGATGTGGGTTACTCTAATATGTTTTATTTGATTTTAGTATGTTGTTTTTCTTTGTTGAATGGATTTTAACCGATATTGATGGGGGTTACTAAACATACATGGTCACTTGGAGTCTTGATGAAGCGGAAGCTGGATGAAGATGGCTTGTTGAATGGATTTTTCAATGGATTTTGATGAAGCTTGCCATATCTGGTCACTTGGAGTTTTGCTGGTTGACATATGATACATATTTCGGTTGCATGGGATGGTTGGTGTAACACTTGGAGACGTGGAGTTGATGGAGTTGAACTGGATTTTTTAATGCCCTCCGTGGCAAAGGGGGAGTGGGGGAAGGGATGAATATCTATCCCATGAAAATTACCATTGCTTCAATTTTTTTCCCATCGAGAAAAATACACAGTTGCTGATTGCTGAGTTTTTTTTAATTTTTTGATCCATGGTTCCCCATTGAATCGCCTTTAAACCATGGTTAATCCCTATGAATCCCCATTGAATCCCCATTTCTGGATGGTTTTCCAGCCATATTTTCCCACCTTGGATGACACGGCCTGGCGCCTGGCGTCCCTCCAAGGCTACCTGGCGCCTTTCGACAGCGTCACCGAGCAGCTGCGCGCCAAGATGGAGGTCGCGGCCAAGCCCAAGGAGGAAGTCGAGGAGGAGGAGCGGAAAGGGAGGGAGGCTTTCACCCATGAAAAGTGAGGCTAAACCATCGATGGTATATATATATATGGTGGTTTATTGGTATATATTATTATTGTTGCTATTATTATTATTGTTGTTATTGTTATTGTTATTTTTAAAAGTATCTGGTTAAATAACGTTGAATATGGTTAGCGTATGTTTTAAGTTGAATCAACAGACAAATATGAGGACATCACCATAGGGTAGAAACGGTGATGAGATCACTGGGGTGTATCACCAGAAATATCATGAACTATCCGAGACAACAATGATGGGATGGGTAACTGGGGTGATACACCATCTCAATAGATATTCCAACATATTCCAGTTCTGATGGGAGTTGGAACCAATAGTAGCAAGCGACACGTTGCCCACTTGTTTTCAAGTTGGAATGAATGGCGGGGAGGCCGGGTAGGCTAAGAGGCGCCAACAGGATAAAACGTGTCCAAGATCCGCGGTTTTCTGGGACCTCAAAATTTTGAGCCACGCCCATATGGGTTTCCAATCCATCGGGGTACCTGCAAATCGTCATTTTTTTTGGGGGGGATTTTCCATGAAATAAACCATCCAGCTATTGGGGATCCCCCATTTATGATAAAGCCTCATTCATGATTCATATGATACAGTTAGAGTATATAGAGCTAAAAAACACAGCTGCCAGGACACGGAGGGTGTGGACCTTTACAAAGGAGCTTTCTCCTTGGCCTATGGAACCTTGACCCTCTTGCGCGATGCCAAGATGCACCTGAAGAGGAACCGTGACTGGGCCTTTGGAGGGATGGCAGATGTACATCCAACAAAAATAGGGATCGAAGGGTGATTCCACCAAGAAACCTGGTGATTTCCGTGGGATTTAAGTTGATTTAAGTAACACACATGGAGAATATGTAGATATTCATGGGACTCAGGCAACAAGCATGGAGATGTCATGGGGATATAATGCGAAGATGATCGGAAAATGATGGGAAGATGATGGGAAGGTGATGGAAGATGATGGAAGGATGATGGAAGGATGATTCAAGATGGAAGGATGATGGAAGATGATGGGAAGGATCTGGCCACTGATTATCCCCTCAACCATGGATTTGTCCAACAAATGATCATTTCAGACAAAGCATCCCTATGACATATTTCTCCCCTACCTTCCGGTTGAAACCACCAACCATCCATTATTCATTGACATTTATCTCAAACCACTGAAATCCAACATTTCCATCATTTCCATCTTTTCCATCGACCTGTTCACCTTCTCTCACCATCCCAACAAAACGACCGAGGTTTCTACGGCTTGTTGGGCCCCAACCAGTGCGGCAAGACCACCTTGATGCGCGCCATTGCCAACGAGCAGCTGGAGGGCTTCCCCAAGCGCGACGAGTTGAAGTCTGTCTTCGTGGAGCACGAGATCGAGGACGAGGAGGTCACACCATGGGGCCACGGGGGCCACGGGGGCCACGGGGGCCATGGGGTCACCGGTTGGTGGGTGGTTGGAGGTTTTAAAGCAGGAAACTTGGGAGGTTAATATAGTTTAATGATGTTTAATGATGTTTAATGATGTTTAATGTAGTTTCAGAGGGGCGACTTTATCATCACAAATGGGAGTTTAAGGATCAAAAGTGGTGATTGAAGTATCAAGCATGGGGGTTGAACCATGATAAAAGACGGTTTAAACATGCTTAAACACATCAAACATGATGATTCAACAAAAAAGGGTTTAACTATCCAAGAATATGGATGTCATCAACAAATGGAGAAAGCCAAAACAAGAAGCTTTTTGATACAAAATTGTGGTTCATGGGCTCCCTCAAATTGTTGCCTCCTAGCCCATCTCAATAATTGCCCCCATCCCAAAAACGTCCCAGCGCATTGGTGCGGTGCCATGTCAGGTGGGTGTGCAAGACGATGGCTTCCCCATCTTGTCAGTGGACAAGCCAGGTTGGTGGTGGGTGGTTCACACCTGCAACGACATCTACAAGTTGGAGCCTCCTGTGAAGGAAGACACTGTGACTGGCCAAGGGTAAGGTGACAGGTTAGTGGGGTTCCCAACCAAGAAGCCAGACTCAGAGGACTTGGCATGTTTCTCAAAATGTGTTGGTTTTGAAGATTCTCGCCAAAGATCTCCACAAGCACACTCATTCAACTTCCATTTTTCTTCGCATTTCTCCCAAAAAAGACATCAAGAATCAACCTCATAGCCTATGGATATGTAAATTGGAGAAGATTCACCGTTTTTTTTCAAACATTTGGACTATTGGAAGATCTTGGAAAAAAAAATCGAATCTTCCCCCGTTTTTCTTTCCCCCTTGGTTCCCCCTGCCACAGCTGCCGCAAGGTGAAGGAACTGATGAAGTCCATCGGTTTCGGCTACCCCGGCGGCCCGGACCGCGCGGCCAACCTGGAACTGCCGGTGACCAGCTACTCGGGAGGCTGGAAGATGAAGATGCAGCTCTGTGCCTGGGATGGGGATGGTGGTTTTATCACTTTGGATATAAATGAAGAAAGATGTATATATATATATATTATATTATTATATTATATTTATATTAGATTATATTATATTAGATTATATTTATATTTATATTACATTACATTATATTATATTATATTTTATTTATATTTATATTTATATTTATGTATATATATATATTTATATTTATATTTATATTTATATTATATTATTATATTATGTTATGT